ACTATAGGAGGAGAGCGGCCAACCCAACTTTCCCCAGGGCATACCGTAAAGTTCCCAAGCCACCCAGCTGATCTAGGATTACTTCCAGCCGGTAGAAGTGGCTCTCTGAAAAAAAGTCTTTCTACCGCTGTGTCCACAGAAACTCTTGGTTAGAATGTAAATTATTGACACATTCTTATAGACATGGACAGGGCAGGCCCCGAGTGCTATATCGCAGTTACCTACACCATATTACTTTGCAGCGGCCCGATTTATGGACAGAGTATAAAGGCTGGGAACGCCCAGGGAGGCAGGCCAGCCAACACCGCATTTGCACGGCAGCTTTGCAGATTAGAAAGTAAATGGCATGGCTCCTATTTCAAAGACTTTTCTTAACACCTATTGTCCACTTGCCCAAGGAATCTTGTTGGTTTGGGAAGAAAGGTTTGTTGTTTTGTTGTTTTTTTTTTCTTTTTTCTGAGAACTGACAATCCAGTATAGATCAGACCCTTTCCCAAAGCCATGCCCCAGGTCCCCCTACTGCCCCTTGGTGACTGCAGAGAAGTCGTTTTTCTTGAAGGTAGGCTGTCACCTCTCCAGGCTGTGCTAATAATCAACAGGAGTTAAGGATCGCAGGAGTGGAACAGAATAGTCCGAGGACGTCATTGCCCTTCTTCGGTTGCTAGGCAACGCCTCCTTCGCAGAGATGGACAAAACAGGTTGGGGGAGATACCAGGAAAGAAGCCTTCGTGTTCGGGTCAGCCCCACTGTCCCCGGGAAGGAGACAAGACAGGGGAGCCTCTCTTGGGGCCACCCACTCAAGAGGCATTGTTGTCCTCTCTCCTCCCGAGTCCTCGATTCAATGGCCGGGACCTCGAAGCCCCTGGGTGTGGCTGGTGTGTGTTACCGGGAGCGATCCCCAGAGGAATTCTGTCGCCTCATCACCCGCCATCGCCTCATCACCGCACTGCCCAAAGGGGAGGGGGCGGGGCTTACGGCTCCCTCCGTTAGCGGGAGGCTAATCTGAGACCTGTCGCCCAGTCACAGGCAGGCTCATGATCCCAAATCAGTGACTGTAGATTTCAGACACCTGCAGCGGCGGGCAGCTGGGTGGGACACTCTGCAGCACCCCCCCGCCCTCCCCAGGCTTTTACAGTCAGTTCACCGCACCCCTGAAGAGTCCCCAGAGCTGGGGGCAGTGCCGGCCGTGGGAGACGGGACCGGCTTCTGAATGGCAGCCCTGAGAAGCACCGACTGCAGCCTGCGGCAGTCAACCTTCCTGAGCAGGGTTCCTTTCCCTTTAATAAAAAAAAAAAGGATATTTTCTCCTGGGAATCAGCTTAGCAGAAATGGTTGCACCAAGATGGATGTAAAGGGTGTTTGTGATCCCAGTGTGATGGCAACAACAGGAAAGGAGACAGGATGAACGCCATTAACAGAGGAATAACGTTATTTTGGCACATCTGTGTGATAAAGTATTGCATAGGCATTAAAAAGAACAGGATAGAGCCCTGGCTGGGTGGCTCCATTGGCTGGAGCATGGTCCTGCACACCAAAATGTCCTGGGTTTGATCCCCGGTCAGGACACACCCCTGGGTCATAGGTTTGATCCTCGGTGGGGTGCATATGGGAGGCAACGGATGGATGTTTCTCTCTCTCGCTCTCTCTCTCCCCTTCCTCTCTCTCTAAAAGCAGTAAATGTATCCTTGGGTGAGGACTGTAAAAAAGAAGAATGGTGTAGCTAGGTCTGCGTGTGTGGACACGGGAAGAAGTCCTTGATATTTTACCAGAAGGGGCAAATTAAGTGTCAGCTCATTATAAAAACCTCCGTGTGGGTAGGCACATGTGTCTGTCACACACGGAATGTGCGTACTGTGAGCATTTATACCAGTGTGAACCGGTAACCTCTGCACAGTGTCCATCTAATCCGTTTAATTTATAGTCCAGTTGTCTGAAGCCAGACAAATTGGTGATCTGCTCAGATTGGAGGGAGCCCAGACTGGGCTCGCACCCAGCGTGTGGGCGACGCTGCTGGCTGACAGCTCTTCTCACGGCCTTTCTTCGTTAGGAAGTCTGATTGTTTGTCCCGGGGAGTTTCCTGCGCTCCGGGTTAGATTGTCTGTGTCTGTAAGGTATTGCTTCCAACGTCCCTCCGTCTCCTGCATGTCCTGTAAAATGCGAGAAGACCTGCAGTCGGCTGAAAGGGAGGCCCAACTCTTCGACAAGACCACTTCGCAGGCGGAGTTGCGTGTTGCCCAGAGCTGCACATCAAGAGCCCGGTGAGGTCTGGCCGCCTCAGTCTGGGGGGTGGAGGTTGGCCGCTGGGCCGGGGGATGTCTGCCTGTGTCCCCAGGCCTGTCGGCCTCGGGCGGAGCAGCCCCTCACAGCCACGGCTTAGATCCATGATGTCACCGGGCCCACAGAATGGGGCTACCATTCCTTCTACATGTTTTTGGTTAAAATTTTTCTGCAGAAAATAACTTTCATGCATATTTGGCTACCTAAAGTACTGTTTTATAGGAAAGACTGGATACATGATTCATTCTGTCCTTTTTATCAATTTTCAGAATACTTTTTTGGTGTTTTCTGGTAACCTCTATAGAGCTCCAACTACACACACAGATGCATACAAATGTGTGTGTATGTGTGTGCATGTGTGTGTACACACACAGCAGGCCTGCAGCTCCCAGGCAGGCACACGGAGGGCTGGCAGTAGGGGGCGGTGCACACAATGGGTGTGCAGCTCACAGGCACACAGCAGGTGGTCTGGCAGCTCACCAGCACGTACACAGCTGGCCTGCAGCCCGTGGGCAGGCACACGGGGGACTGGCAGGAGCTAGGCGAGCAGCAGCCACCCCGGCAGCCTGTGGAGCAGCTGGTGTGGCACATGCTGTCGTGGGGCTGGCTGGTATCGTGTGGGGGGGCAGTGGTGACTGCAGGCTCTTTCCCTGGTGGCCTTTATACCCAGGCTGTGGCTGTCCTGGCCCAACTGTTGGTCCCCCGTGGCTGTTTGCAGGTGTTTCCCCCGCATCCTGTTTCCTGGGACGCACTGTCCTGTGTTGGGCTCCCCATGAGTACGCTTGGCTTGGAGGCCCGGGTCCCCTTCTGTAAACAGGGTGATCCGGTTTGACGACGTGGCCCGGCGTGGTTTCCCCAGGCCACTGTCGTGCACAGGTCCCCCTGGCTCGGCCCCGAGTGCTGTGTCCTTCTGGTCACATTTGTCTCGTACATAGTTTAAACTTTTATTTTTAAAGATATTAGATTCTTTTTATTTATTTTTCAGAGGAGAAGGGAGAGAGAAAGAGAGGGAGAGGAACATCAATGTGCCATTGCTTTTTGCACACCCTGCAACCCAGGCGTGTGCCCTGACCAGGAATCGAACCGGCAACCCCTTGGTTCACAGGCCAGTGCTCAATCCACTGAGCCACACCAGCCAGGCACAAGAAACACTAAAGCAGGAGTCTGCAAACGGAGGTCTGCGGTGTGAGTCTGGCCCGCTGCCCGTTTGTTAATAAAAGTTCCACTGACCACAGCCCTGCCCACGTCTCCAAGGCTGTCTAGGGCGGCCTTCGCACAAGCCTGCCGAGCACTCACGGGGGAGACCGTGTGGGACAGCAAAGCCTGAAATGCTTACTGTCTGGCCTTCACAGAACAGGTGCCCGGAATCCACACAGAGGTTGACTTGTTTATGCAACAAAAGGGCACACACCGTGTGCTCTCAGTGGAGACGTGCTGGCCTCGTGAGCCTGCCGGGGCGACGAATAAATGAGTGACCGGGATGCCTGCCTGGCCTTCGCTGTCCCCCTGCTCCTGTGGTCCTCCTCGGTCTGTTCCTGATGAGGGGTTAAGGAACAGGTGGCACACACAAGGCCCGAGGGCCAAACCCGGCCCCCCACCTCGGTTTATCCCGCCCGGCACCTGGTTTCTACCCAGCAGCAGTGCTGAGCTCTCGCTTAACTGTTAAGGGGTAGTTCCATTTATGCAGTCCTAAAATGATATTTGGCCCTTTGGAGGCAACTGCGAGGTTGATGCGGCCCCCGGTGCAAATGAGTTTGACACCCCTGGGTTAAGGGATAAATAAGTAGGACACCCAGTGCTGCCCCATCAGTCTAACTGGTGTCTTGACTGGTGGTCCACTGAGGCTGCAGGTGCATCCCCCCCCACCCCGACAATCCTGAGGGTGTGTTCACAGGTGTCTTTTTGCTCCGTGCCTCCTCAAACAGGCCTTGAGACCCGAGTAGAATGAGTAGTGTCTGAAATGAGCTTTGCACTCCTCTTGGGGCCCACGGGGTCTTCTCGATGCTCAGGGCATCGGCCCCTGTGCCCGGACCAGCACGGACGCCCTCCTCTCTCCCAGGAAGCGAGCTCCGCGCTAGGTGCCGCTCTGTCAGCTCCTGGCCAGCAAGGTTTCACTGCTCCGCAGCTCACCCTGAACCTGGATGGACAGGGGGCTGGGTGTGGCCAGGACTCCAAGTCCACTCGGGTCCTTGCCTCCAGCACCCACACATGCCTCCTGGAGCCAGCCTGGGAGGGCTGTCCACTTTGGGGAGGGTGGGCTGCTGGGGTCGGGAAGGGAAACGAGCAGGCAGATGGCATCGGTCCCAGATGTTGTCGCTCAGCTGCTCTGAACTCGGGTTTGAGAACATGGCTTTATTGTGTGACTTCTACCAAATGCCCAGATTTGGAGTCTCAGGAGCTCAGGAGAGGAAGGGAAACCAAACACATATGTCCTGGCACAAGCATTTTATTGATTATACCAATTGGCCTTTGTCACATAGAGAGCAAGCAATTGTTCCTGCAGAGGAGGGTCCTGGGGTCCCGCACTCCACCCCCTGGTGAGGGATTTGTGGTCATCTTTTGTCAAAGAGGGATGGGTGGCATGTTTGAATCTGCATTAAGCAGAACCTGTGTGTCCCCTGATGGGAGAGGGGAGGTCCTGGCACCAGCCCAGGGGCCCCAAGGGCTCCCAGAAGGGGAGAGCTGTGCTCAGGAGTGAAGGCAGCAGCTCGAGATCAAGCTGGTCAGCAGCAGGATGTCTGGGCCACCGGGGCAGGGACACAGCATGCAGGTCTGCACACGGGGCGGCAGATGAGGGACACACAGGAGGCCGGGCGGCAGCAGCTGGGCTGGCAGCAGGAGGAGGTGGGGGCACAGCAGGAGGAGACGGGCACACAGCAGGCGGGTCTGCACACAGGGCGGCAGATGAGGGACATGCAGGAGGACGGTCTGCAGCAGGGGGTCGGCTGGCAGCAGGAGGGGGCTGGGCAGGGGGCAGCCCCAGAGCAGATGGGCACACAGCAGACGGGCTTGCAGCAGACGGGTGTGCAGCACACAGGTGTGCAGCAGATGGGCTTGCAGCAGATGGTTGTGCAGCAGACGGGTGTGCAGCAGGAGGGCTGGCAGCAGCTGGGGGCACAGCAGCTGGGGACACAGCAGGTGGGCTGGCAGCAGCTGGGAGCACAGCAGGTGGGCTGGCAGCAGCTGGGGGCACAGCAGGTGGGCTGGCAGCAGCTGGGGGCACAGCAGGTGGGCTGGCAGCAGCTGGGGACACAGCAGGAGGGCTGGCAGCAGTTCTCTGGACAGTCGTCCACCTGCTGGGAGTCAGTGCAAGAGTCACTGGAACCGGGCAGGCAGACGCGGTTGCCATAGCTCAGGTCGCTGGAGCAGACGGACAGGGTGGAGGCGGCCATGGTGGGCGGTGGGGCTGGAGGTGAGCTGGGAGGAGTGTATGAGTGTGTGTGAGTGTGTGAGTGTGTGAGGTGCTGGGACTGTCCACCTTTTATACCCCTCCTCTGTGTGTGTGTGTTGTCCCAGCAGGAGGCCTCCACGCCCTCCCTTCCTTGTTGTTGTTTAGACTGGTTGCCGGAGAGCTCTCATTAGTGTTGGTTTATTTTCTATAATTAGTTTTTACTCATTACACCTGCGAGTATGTTGCAGGACTCTGTTTTCCTGTATGTTCTTTTTTTGGCTTCAGAAAACTTGTGAAAGTCACGAGGCGGGTGTTTGCTGAGTGACTGCCGCGGGTTCTAATGCCACCTTCACGGAGGCACGGGGCGTGAGATGAATTCGCAGCCACGGAGCGCCCCCTGCCATGCCAGCCGTGACCGTGTGAGGGCGCTGTGGGAGAGACGCCCAGCGCCGCCGCAGCCCGAACCATAAAGCACCGGAGAGGATGGGTAAGAGGGTCAGACGTGATTGGGATAGTAGCCCTTGACCAAAAACCACACACGACCTACGTCCACTGGGGCCCTGAGGTAGTCACGGGCAAAAAACTCAGGGCTGTGTGGTCTCCCACTCGCCCCGGTCAACCCACCACTGGGGTCCTCTCAAGTAAAGCCCGAGGGAATTTTTCTGGGGTACAAAATGACGATCCTGAACTGCCAGGAAGTACTCGCCATGTGCACGATAGAGGAAGGTTTAGTATGCACATTGAAAAGTCCTTAGAACTAAAACAGAGCATAATGCAAAAGAACCAAATACAAAATTCAAGTCATTGAAATGATCAATAACCATAGGCAAAGCTACAGGATCTCATTAGTAATTAAAGTTTCTCAAAGTAAAACACAGATGGCCCACCCGTAAGATCAACTGAGACTCACAATGCGGATCACACCCAGGGCTGCTGCGCTGGGGGGCGGGGCTGCCGGTAGCAGGGGTGTTTCCCGTGTGTGTGTGTGTGTGTGTGTGTGTGTGAGAGAGAGAGAGAGAGAGAGAGAGAGAGAGAGAGAGAGATAACACAAAATATAAAATCCACCGTTTTCGCCATCTTCCAGTGTGTAATTCCGGGGCGTTTAGTACGGTCACACTGTTGTGCAACCGTGCCCAGGCTCCGGTTCCAGAACATTCCCTCCACGACGAAGGAAACCCCGTGCAGTTAGGCAGCCCCTCCCTGAGCCGGACGACCGCTGCTCCGTTCTCTGTCCCCATGGGTTTGCCGGTCTGCACATTTCACACAAAACCCCGAACAGCATGTGGCCTTTCGCGTGGGCCTCATTTCGTTCACCATGGAGATTCATCCCACCGAGGCAGGTGCCCGCGCCCCGCTCCCGCGCGTGGGTGAGCGATGTTCCACGGCGTGGGCGGGCCGTACTTTGTTTATCCACTCCTCTGCTGACGGGCATGTGAGTTATTTCCACCCTTTGGCTAATGTGAATACTTTACACTGTGAACATTTCTGCACAAACTTCTGTTTGCACACCCCTTTTCAATGCTCTCAGATGTACACCCAGGAGTGCAATTGCTGGGGCGTGCGGCGACTCTGTGTTTAACTTTGGGGGACCTGCCAGACTGGGTTCCACGGCGGCTGCGCCCTTTTACCTCTGTGACATCAGCGCATGGGGGGTCCCAGTGTCTCCTCGCGCTCGCCAACATGGTGTTTGGTGGGCGTCCTCGGAGCTGCCCTACTGGGGAGGAAGGGGCATCTCCCTGGGGTCCCTATGTGCATTCCCCTAATAACCAGTGACACGGGGCTTCCTCTCATGTGCTCGTTGGCCATTTGTACATCTTCTTTGAATAAACGTCTGTCAAAAACGCTTAGCCCATTTTTAATTGGGCGGTTTGTCTTTTCGTGTTTGAGTTATACGTGTTCTTGACGCATTCTGAACACTATTACGATTTGCAGATACTTTCTCCCCCACTGTGGGTTGTGTTTTCACTCTCTTGATGGCGTCCTTTGCTACCTAAAGCTTTCTAATATTTATGAAGTCCGATGGGTCTATATTTTGTTGGCTGTGCTTTCAATGTCGTATGTAGAAACCGTCGTCAGATCTGAGGTCATGCAGAGTTACCCCTCTGTTTTCTTCTGGGTTTCACCAGCACCATCTGCTGAAGAGGCCGTTCTTTCCCCCCCGAATGACCTTGATGCCCTTGCTGAAAGTCAATTGACCACAGATGTCTAGGAGTTTTTCTAGACTCTTGGTTTCATTCCTCGATCTGTGCGTCTGTCTTCATGGGTGCGCCACTGTTTTGATCACTGTAGCTCTGTGGTTACTTCCACTTCTTTCTTTCTGATTGGATTTCTTTCTCTTGCCTAACTTACCAGGCTGGGGCTTCTAATGCAGTGTGTAACAGACGTGGGGAAACTAGTCATTTTTGTCTTGCTTCTGATGCCAGTGGGAAAGCTGTCAGCCTTTCACCACTAGGCACAGACGGTGTTGGCTGTGGGTGTTTCGCAACGCCCTCTCTTGGGTCGAGAGAGTTCCCTTCTCGTCCTAGTTTGTTGAGTGTTTTTGTCAGGAAAGAGCATTGACTTTTGTCAGAGGCTTTTCCTGCATCCATTGCAATGATGGTGTGGGTTTCCCCTTTATTCTGTTAACACGGTGCGTGATACTGATGGCTTCTCATATTTTCACTCTTGCACTGCTGGGATGGGTCCCACCTGGCTGCACTGGTACAACCCTTTTGCTATGCTGCTGGGTGTGGTTTGACTGTGTCAAAGGCTCAGGGACCTGAGTAGGGACCCTTTCACTGGAGCTGCCACAAATCGCACATGGCACATTTCCTACCACTGACCCTTCCGACACGACACGGCCTGCTGGCTCCCACCAGGGACAGCTGGCTCTGGAGCCTGACCCTGCTGCCGACTCCTTTCCTACTCTGGGCTGTCCTCCCGCCACCCTGTGTGTGGGTCCAGGGATGCCCCCAGATGTAGAATCTGCATTGTCTTCAGAATACAGGGATGCGCGTCAGGCATCGTGCCTCCTGATTCGTGGCGTCTCCCACAAGACACAGCAGTTTATCCTTTACTTTGGAGAGGGTGCTGCAGCATGTCCCAGAACAGTTTTAAATATTTTACTCCTGCGGCAGACCTCTGAATTTTTGTACAGTTGACCTCCCACCGTCTGGAGCACACGTCTTACCGAGGCCTCCAATGTAGGAGCCACTTCCGGCTCCTGAGGGCCCAGTAGCATGGCGTCATTGATGTAGCGGACCAGCGTGATGTCCTACAAGATGCCCTGGAGGATCAGATCTGTTCTGAGTACGTTATGTCCAAGGTTGGGACAAAACCATAAGTGTAGACCCTCTTTTTGGTAGGAATGCAAACTCTTCATGAGCCTCTTCCATGATGGGATGGAAAATCACGCCTTTGCCAAGTCACTGGCAGCTCACCGGGTCCCGGAGGGATGCCGGGGGAGCTCCTCTGGGAACCGCAGCTGGCCTGCCCCGGCCGCCGCAGGGGGCCTGCCGCCACTCGGCTGAGTCTGCAGTCCGGTCACCCTCCGGGATCCGTCTGGGTTTGCAGGCGCCAGACGGCAGGTGTGAGAATGCTCCCCACCAACGCCACATGCACGCACATCCTGTAGGCCTTGGAGGCGGCCCCAATCCCTGCCGGTGCCTGCAGGTTGCAGTGCTGGTGTTGAATCACTACCTTGACTTGGGTCGGGGTGGGGGTGGGGCAGGCCTGGGAGAGCAGTTTTCGAGCCTCTACTCCACCTCCCTCAGTAAGACGGCTCCTTTCCCGAAGCCTGGTAATGAATGGTAGGGGTCGGATCAACGAGCAAGGACGTCCCCTTTACCTGTACACCCAGGGCCCCAGGAATGGCCGCTGGGTCGGTCCGTGGACCCCGCGGAGTCACTCAGAGCCGGATGCAGCCGGGACTCCCCTCACTGCCCACCCTCCCTGCATCTTGCCAGCGCGCCCATAAAGAGGTTTCTTCAGGACTCCAGTATCCACCTCAACTTGAACCCTGTGTTCAGCGGCCCTAGAAACGCTAGGGTACTCCCCTTTTCTGGTGCACTGCTGTGTGCGTGAGCCCTGGAAGAGGAGGGACTGAGAGAAGCATTTCTATGTGCGGCAGTCCTGATTGCGGGGTCCTTCCTTCTGGGGTTTCCCGTTCACACCAAGGAAATTGGCAAACGCCACAAATCATGACTTTTTTTTTGAAGGTTAGCATACCACTCACATACTCTTCAGAATCTGCCAAAAACAAAAACAGAAATCAAGCCTGGGTGATCAGAAAGGGGAGAATCCTCTCCCTACCCCCCATCCCCCCATAGAGAGCCTCGATCCCTTGCCCGTTTCCTGGATCGGAGCCAGCCCTCAGACAGACACACCTTGACTGCCCCTAGTGTAAAGTCGCCAATGGTTTAACAACCAACTCGCCAAATTCTTGGATATTTACTGTTCAAGCTAGTCCAACTCAGCTCCTGCGAGGTCCGGTCGCGGCCGTCAGGAATCTGATTGGCTGCCCAGCACTGCCGCCTACCTCCCCGGGGAGTCTGTGCTCTGAAAACCACCTCCAGCCGCTCCCCACCAGGCCCCTCCCCCGAGGTCTGGCCTGCGGCCCAGTGCCTCCCCTCTCCCCCCACCGCCTGCCGTGTCCTTATGTCCCTGGTGGTACTAGCTTTACTAAGTTCTGGTTTATCGTTCCATTTTTTAAATATAACCAAAAAATATGGGTGTTTCCTTCCCCTTTCTCACACGAAGGGGGGCATGGGTGCGCACTGGGCTGCACCTGGCACTTGTCACTCACCAGCCTGTCCTGGTCACCACTCCGCGGCGTCCCAAGACGTCCCCTTCTTTTCTCAGTGGCACGCTCCGTGCCTGACCGCCGCTGGCTCATGCACCAGTCTCCTGCTGACGGACAGTGGTGTTTCCTTCTGCACTTAGCTGCTCTGAAGAATGCAGCCAGGGGTGAGGGTCACTGACAGCACTGAAGGATCTGACAGTGTGTCTTTGGGATGAATTCCT